AAAAACTTAAAGAAAAATGTAACTGAAAAAAATTGCGATACTTTTCCTGCAGTATCGGAGCTGTTGTACATGAACACGTACATGTAGAGCACAGTGGGCATAATGCATTATGACGAACATCATGCGTCATAGCCCGAGTATCACATCCCGTGACACTATGATAGTACTTCCTTTGTTGTATTGACAGGTGGTTAAATGTTCTCCGCACGGGAAGTCACCCTGAATTGTTTGGATTTAAAGGAACCGCTGCTGTAATGTTGTCTGTATGCTGATGTTTTGTTTGTTGGGTTGTTTATTTGTTTCCTGGCTTGTGTCTGAGTTTGAAAGCTAAAAAATGATGGCTTTTGTCAGTCAGACATGTATTGATACATGTACGGGGTACAATTGTGGCAGAAAAAAAGGACAAGAGATTGCAAGCTGATTACAAGATTTTGTGCAGTGTGTGTTTCAATTTCTTGGTATGTGATCTTTACTAGGGTGCACAGTATTGAGTTTTGCATAGCAGTTGCCTATTGCAAAGTTTACATGAAGCATGCTGTTATTACCATGGCTACTGTAGGATGTTTATCTTGTAAAAGCCTAAGCTTTCCATCAAATTCCAAGTGCGCATTTGCATTTATACTGAAACCAAGCCCTGAAAAGCCTTGCAAAAAAAAGCTGTTTGTCTTTCTTAGCTGGCAACAACTGAGTTGAACTGGACCTGACTTGATGATAAATAAACTACAAGTAGATGGACGTGGAAAGGAACACTCAGAGTGCTCCAGAGTGCTCCTTTAAAGAGTCAGGCAGTAGAGTACATGTAGGTGCCTTATTTCTGCTGTGCATGTCTGGAACTCCATACATGTAGATCTCAAACCCTGAAGCCATCATGTGACTGCACAAAGTTCGACCCTGTCATAAGGGTGCAGCCAAAACTGGCACAGTCTGTCGCCCACAATCCGGTGCCTGCTCAGCTCAGTGAACTTCAGTGACCGACTTTGTGTGTTTGCCATGCAATCAAATACAATCTCCATGAACAGTACCGGGTGAAGTTCTACAGAGAAGATTTCAATTGCTGTGTCTAGACAAGTTATTAAGACTTGATGACAAGTACTTTTGGCAACTGAGGTACACAGGCTTGTTTTTCCCTTTGATTCCTTGGTGTGCATGTTCATACACGTGATGTTTCTTCAGTTTTACTAAAGTCGAAGTCTGTCTGGTGAGTCTGAATACAATATCCACATTATTGAGCAGTGCCATGTGTGGTTGCAATACAAAGTACGTATACAACTACATACTCGACTTGTATATTGCAGTGGGGGAGGATTTGAGTCCAGACTTGAACTTGAGTCCGAACTCGAACTTGAGTCCGGACTCGGGTCCTTTTCTTTGACGTATGACTAAGCACATACATGTGCTTTGCCTGTGGCTGTCAACCTCCAGAGGTGAACTCGCAATGATTCTATTCAAACAGCGGTAAATCACATGGACTTCTCTTTTCACTGTACAAACTTGTCAAAATCTTGATAGTTCAAAGCTTGACAGAATTATTCACATCCCCTGGGTTTAAATCATTAAGGTACATGTAGATATTCACCTGTTCAAAATCGGTGAAATAACCAGACCGCCTTAAGTGCCATATGTACGGTATTCGATAAATTAAGTCACCAACTTGTGACATTTTGACTCAAAATGGAAATATATATTGATGGGGGATCTTTTCTTTCTCAGAAACATTCCAGATTAGTAAGATGGACACCGAAAAAGTGGGTCTCGTATTTTAAAGATCTGGTTTACACCCTGTGAATCTCTCTCAAATACCGGTAGTTGTTAAATCAATGTATCGGTATGCAAGTATAGTGCCATTGTAAAGCAGTATTACTTGCTTTAGTATGGTGAAGGGAAATTTGTCATACAGGATTATATTTAATGCATCTATAAGATCCTAAACCAAATTCCAAAGCTCTTTTAGAAATGTTACACTGATTTGGTGTCCCCGTACTTGTACATGAAACCCTGAACTGTTAGGCTGTCCGCACTATCAGAAAAGTAGTCAGATATTTCATCCTGTGCTGCCAAATATCGTATATTAGGTTTAAGTGTACATATGTAACTTGAGCCACTAACATTATTTGAACATATTTCACTCTTGGTAGTTAGTAATAGGCAAACAAATATCACAATGTAAGGTGGAACACCCAAGGTCACTAAAAGGAGATTACAAGTCAGGATGTTAAGCATGCAGGCAATATTGTTTACAAGTCTGCCGATCACAGGTCATACATGTATGTAACTTGTGATTTGTGTCCTGGTATGTTGAGTGAAACGTTCAGGTCCTCTGGCAGGAAAACAACCTGTAGTCTCTGCTCTCAGATGAATTGTACTGACAAATTCAGAAGATCCCTCTTAGAGATCAGCAGTGAAAATTGCAAGAAGTAGACTTGTTTGTACATGTAAGCGTCGAGGCATCTCAAGAGTAGGGCAAGGGGGTTACCCCCCAAGCACATCCTGCTTCATTCACAGGAAGGAGAGTAACCTGCAGGAAGTATCTCCTTATTACTTAAGAGCCTATCCTCAATACGTACAGCAATTAAGAGCATAGTGTTGATCTACTGGAAACTTATGAGAGCATGTGAGCCCCGTGATGGGTATTCACTGGATCTTGGTTTGAACCCTGCTTGAAGTAAGGGAGGGTCAATTTTGTCTGCATATCCTGCGGCAAGATTTGTTATTTTATGCAGTTGTCGAGGGCAGGGCACTACATGTATCCAGGAGTTTTTATTCAAAGTGAAGGATTTGGCATTTGGCCGACATCAGTGAAAGTGAGTCGGAAAGCCATTTCTTTCGTATACTTTGTTTCAATTTGCATTAGAGAGATCAAACTTGTGGTAGCTTATTGTTTTGATAAATCATTTTGGCATCCTGATAGATATGGGCATTGTGTGGGTAGAAATATTCTGTCAACATTAAATCCCATTGTTTCCATTATGCAAGATTCTTTTAAAAGCAGGTCATTCAAATCTGGCTCTTGTGATTTTCATGCTTAATGTAGAACTGCTTTTTACTGATGAGGAACCAGCTTCCCGGGGGAGGGGGGTGGTCCCCCCGTGACGGCCCGAGTTTGTGCATGAAACTCATTTATTTTAAAGAAAAGGAGAAAACTGGGTGTTCAAATTCAAAGTGTGGATAAAAACAAGGTACATAATGTACATTGTATTGAGTTTCTGACCATTCACTTTGTTAAATCATACCAATCAGGCAAAACGGCTCCTGTAAATGTGTTGAAAAGGAAACTTACATACATGTACATTCATGTATCTAAATGAACTGAAACCACAGGTATGTACTGGTATTATATTGCACATTAGTAGACAGTATTGAGATACATGTAGACACTGATATTTCAGCGTTCCACAAAACCTTGATATTGCAAAAGTTGATAATTTGCAAGTGTCAAGATACAGATTGTATCTCACTTTCCATTGTCACAATGCAGTCTGTTGCCGTTTATAGATTTGTGGTTTGCATATATGTACAGATGTACGTAAATGGTCTGTATAATGTCACGTGGAAATGAATAATAAAAGCCAAGGGTTGAGGCGCTCGTTTTGTGGTTGATTCTTAAGCAACAAAAAAACAGTTTCAATTGATCCTTATCTAGTAATGGAAAACACATATGGTTTTGTAACTTGAAATTTATTGGAGTGTGTAGTCTTGCGAAAGTGTTTATATGTAGGCGACATTTACCCACTTTTGTTTTGCTTTATTTGTTCTTTTTTTAGACATGATTTGTGTTTTATATCAAGCACGCAGGAAGACTGCAGTCTAGGAATTCTTGATCCTGTGGAACTGGTGAAAGTTTTGGAACCTCCTAAAGTGCCTGATATCGCTTAAACACATCTCCTCGTGGCAATTCAAAAGAATCATGTGACAAGGCAGTTAAACCTTGTCTCCAGTACTGCATATCACCAGCCAATCAGGGAGCCTGTTATGCCAGCATGGGAACCAGTCCGGTGCCGGTACTCGCTATAACTTGGCAGCTATATAGATGAGAAGTGCGGACACTGTATTGTACTTGCCTGGACACATTCGCGAAGTGAGCACAACGTGTTTGCTTTCATTGCAACGTTTTGACATTTCTGTGCTTGTAAACAGAGATAGATTACCATCCTAGCGGGGAACGTAGTATTGGATTCCATCCATGCAGTTAGCAACAAATAACCCCCTGTCGTCCGTGATGGCAGTGACGGAGCTTTCACCGTGCTACAACACGACACGAGAAGAGCAAGTGGTGGGTATATTTTCAGACTTAGAGATCTCAATGAGTCAGTTCAGTATTTTCAAAAAACTAAAGTCATTTTGGAACAAAACATACACAAGTCCACACAGGGCTGTCTCGATGGGGCAGGTCTCGCACGCACATCTGATTGACCTCAGACATGCTTCACTTTGGGGCATGTGATGTGCTGTTGGAATATTGGACTCGCTCATTTACCTGGAGTTCAGAATGTTAAAAATGACCCTAATTCACCGCGAAAACATGCAACTTGAAGTACGTTACAGTAACACCTTAACGGCAGATGTGACCTGTCACCACAAAATGAGTTCAAAGTTAGGGTTTTCTTAGACTTAAGATACATGTACATGTATTTCATTGAATTGTGGAGACTCAGAGCATTTCATTGCACTGCTGTGCAGTTCTGAAAACATTGATATGAACTGGAAAATGACACTTTAGAGGTAGTTTTTGAGGAAATGACTCTTGAAAATCCCACACTGTATTGAAGTGAGTAATCAGTCAGCTTATGACACAGGGCTAACACACTGTCAGTGTTTTCACAAATATTTAAAAGGGCAAAGACAAGACAAGCGGTCAAAGTACATTTGTAGAACAGGACTTAAAGCGTGAGGTTCATCCTGGGATAGCAACAAAAACCTGGCCAAATCTCTACAATGAACCAGTTTGGTATTCCAACAGAGCATGCCCAGTATGAGGCTATCCGGGAACAGGTATGCGTGGATGTGATATTCTGTCCTGTCATGCACATGCTTTGTTCCCGAAAGACCTTGGCTTTTTGAATAACCGAAATGGCTCATTGGCTTTTCTATCAAGGTATCTTGTAACAGGTCACATACCGTACAGCGTATTTAGCATGTACAGTACTTGTACATGTATCGTATGTTAGCAAGCTGGCTTTTCTGCTACACGTGTAAAGGTACATCTTTTATACATTAAGAAGGGCTTGTGGATCTTTGGTACTGTACAGTGTACATGTAAGTTATGGTATTGAAACCGATTTAAAATCTTTGGAAAACTCCTTGAGGAAGAATTTGAGATGTGGAATGTTTTGTATTTAGTCAGAAGGCATGCAGCAAGACAAACACAGGTGGAAAAGTGAGTTCTCAACAAAGGTTTTGTTTCTTTACATTCCGTCCGTTTGACCAAACAAAGAGTTGTAGAAGCATTACCAACACTTTTCTTTTGAGGGAGGGTGAGGATTCTTTCAAATCTTATAAATTTGAACAGAGTCATTTCTGGAAAAAAAATCCACTTGGCCCCTCCCCCAGACCCAGCACCCCATATGCCACACGTATGTTCACCCAGCACTACCGGTGTATCAATTTATTTAAAACGTGGGATTGTATGAGGCGGCGCGCGCATGACAGGTAGCCATAATCCTGTCCTGCCTCCTGTGATACGGCTTTGAAGTTTGATCAAAAGAGGCAGCGGTGGAGAGCCGTAGCCAGTGTTCGGTACTTGTGCATGCCGTAGTCTCATATGGAGACGCAACACCACGTGTTGCCTCTGTACAGTACAAGATAAACCATTGAAAATATTTCTTGTAGGGGGTTTCCTGAAGATATACCCCACATATATATTTGCAATGGACGTTTGTAATGACACACTCGATAAAGCTAAAAGTGTAAAAGTTTTTGTAAAAGAGATATTGAGCCATTTCATGCAACAGCATCATTAGAAGTGAGTATCTTTCCTTGACATATCACCAACTGATTTTTATCGACATCATTAAACCCTACTAAATTCAACACTATTCAAATATCAACTGGACTTTCGGTTAAGCAGTGTATTGCTGTGACAGAATAAAATCACAGCAAACCTGATTTGTAAGTTCATTGAATGTCGCTTTAAAAAACTTTTGCAAGCTAATGACCATCAGGATGGCCTTTAGCTCAATGCTGGCTTCATATTTATGTGTTTCACGTTCTTGTGAAAACCCCAATTGCAAGAATATCATGATTTGTTTAGCACGAAGAGAGGAAGTAAACAAATTTTCACTGCTCGAAAAAGGCTACTGCGTATTTGATTACATAAGACATTGACTCAAAAAATAATCCATCAAACGTCTTGTTTCCATCACAAAAGCTGACTGGCATTCCCATGTACGACTCTGAACAATAAGCGAAACTAAGTTGAGGAAGGAAACGGACTGGTACATGTACCTGTCCACTTACTGTAGTTTCAGTTTAGTGCAAGGGTCAGATTTTGAAACAAGATTTGACCATATACGATGTGTAAAAACTAGAGTGCTAACTCATGTGCAAAGTGATGCCTTTTGGGTGCATCCATGTTTGGGCATAAACCTGTGAAAAACTCAAGATTTTATATGGCTTTTGTCCAGCTACATGTATGTATTTGCATATCTGCATCTGTATTCTAAAACGATATGTCAACAAAGTCGCAGAACTAACGCACAATGTGTTATGAGTGTTTCATTTTGCTCTGCATAAAGAATGCAAACGCATGTGCATACATGTATGTGCTGCAGATAATTTGGCCGTAACTTTTTAATCGGATTTTTGCAGTATGCGATGCGCATTTGCAGTTTGAATACATAATTCCTTATTTATTCTGTCAGATTTCAAATGTTCAACAAGCATGCACATGGATTCCAAATGTCTGCGCCCAGGACAGCTTCAAATTTTCTCCTCGCGGAAAATTAGAAGTTAGCACTCAAGGAATTTGGGTTTTACTAACATTCTGTCTGTTC